TTTTCCCTTTGACGAACCAACAGTATCTTTTCTATTGCCTTCTATTTACGTACCCATTCGCTGCAAAGGTATTGTCATATACTTGCCTTTGACGCACGGCCGCCCATTGCGCCAACTAGGGCATTATATGTAGGCAATTAATAGGGGTGCTACATCAAATTACTACGCGTGCTACACCTTACGGGTGCTACACTTTTTGGACCCTCTCATTGGCCCAAATCAGATCTGTTAGTGCAGGAGGTAGGTACTAAAATTCTGCCGCAGAGTCGCCATGTGTCCGCCAACATGTCGACCCTCACAGCAAATCGCGACGCGTTCCAGTATCACCATCTCCATCGTCATTGCCCCAGCCTGTCCAGTACAACGTACCTTGCCTCAGAGCTCTACAATGCCTTCACCAAATATTAACATCGCCAACATCAGCCGTCGTAGAAGTCCAATTAGCCCAACCAATCCCTCCATACAATCGCAATCGCGACCATTGTCCAGCAACTCAGACCGCTCAAGCAGTTCAACAGCCAGTCTCGACATCTGTCAGTATGACACGGAAGGGGTGGGCAGCGTGCCTGCCGCGTAACTCGATCAGCATTTCCACTCTCTGCCTGGGCCATACATGGGCACTTTCGTTCGTTCGTTCGTCCGTTCGTTTGGTTTAACCCGTTTGTGGCATCTTAAGCCGTTAACCGTTTTATGGAATGCTTAAACCGTTTAGACGGTTAAACTGTTTTCCAGACTCCACACTCGATAAATCTTTTAAAGTGGTCAATATCAGTCCCAATCTGTAACATGAACGGGTGCATTCAGCTGGCACTGATGCTTCTAACGCCCCCAAACGTGGTCAATCTTTATAGCAAACCCTCAGCGTTAAGCCATCTCCTCGATAGGGTCTAACTCCTCTTCTCTGTCGGCTTCTAATCACTCCTCTGGCTAAATAAGCTCATACTCCGTACACAATTCCAGATACAAAGTTTAAAACCTCACCTTTTGACAATTTTTGACAATCAAGATGTCATCAGACACATCATCTATCATACGTGCCACAAGAAGCATCGATTAGCATATTACACGTCGGAGGGTGGCTTTCCGGCTATTGAATCGGGCAAGGTTGAACTACCTGTTCTGCGTAACCTACACACCATAGGCCCTCATTACGTCACGGAGTACGATGGTCTACAGATCACATGCGAAACCATCGAGACAATCGAATATACAGGAAATTAGTCAAGGACTCTACATGAGAATGGGATGGGTCTAATCTAAATCCCACCGCTGGAGGGTGGCTCTCAGGACGTTAACAACAATAGTGGGCATTATTTCGACCGGTATTAGAGCAGGTATGCACAGTAGATATTTCTGACCCCATAAATCGTTCATTCGTTCGTTTAAACCGTTTGTTCGTTCGTTTAACCGTTTGCGATATTGTTGAACCGTTCAAACGTTTGAGAAAATATTCGACCGTTTAAACCGTTTGCCCATGTATGCCATACATGGGCACTTTCGGTCGTTCGGTCGTTCGTTCGTTCCGTTTAAAACGTTTATGCATGTTAGACCGTTTAACCGTTTGAGTACGTTCTAAAACCGTTTGAACGGTTAAACGATTTTGTATCCGTTGCAGTCGCAGTCGATCAATCTCTCAAACTCGTCAATATCGGTTCAAGTCCGTGATGTTAAGTTCAAAATATCCCCCTTTCACATGAACAAGTGTGGCGCGTCGGGCCGCTGAGGTGCAATCGGCTGACGCGATGGCAGTAACGCCACCAAATGAAGCTAATCTCTCCCGCAGCCCCTGAGCATTGGCTATGTAACTAGGCAGCTAGCTGCTGGAGAGTTTCCATTTCCTCTTCTCTGCGATTCAATAATTTATTGTTTTCCAATCACGGTTCTGGCTGAATGTCCCCCTTGCCTATTACAATATGTCATCTGACACATCATCTATCATCGGTACTACAGAATATCCCCCAGATGTCAACGGATTGCCATCAAACTTCCTCACAATAATAGACATCGCCAAGGACCGCTCAAATACACGCGGACGAAGGAGTCGAGGTAAAACCATCTATACTTGCACTGTGTGTCGAGATAAACGATACGACCATAAGGCAAATGCTGCCAATCATGTCAGAAACAACCATCCCGTCGCATCCAGATGCACCAGGTCTGTATCGGGGACCCAGCGCTCAATCTCCACGCATTTTCGCCCTGTAGCGAGCGAGGACGCACTTCGAAATGCCTTCAGCCCGCAAGCATATCAGGAAGCATTGATCAGCATACTCACGCGTCGGAGAGTACCCTTTTCGGCTATTGAATGGGACGAGTTTCAACAACTGGCTCTCGCGTGCAACCCATACATCACAGACTCCCTCATTACCTCACGGCGCACGATGGTCCGATACATAGCCGCAAACTATGAATTTTACAGCTGCGAGATAAAGGAGAGGCTTATCGCGGCCTCAAGTCCGATTCATATCTCAACGGACCTCTGGACATCACCGCATAGACACTCTCTTCTTGCCGTGTGTGCACAGTGGGTAGATAAAGACTACAAGCTTCGTAAAGCGCTACTATCTCTGCCAGAATGTGCAGAGAGTCATTCTGGAGAAGCTCAAGCGCAGGCTGTTATCGATACTTTAGAGAAATACGGGATACAGTCAAAACTTGGTTGGCACACGGGTGACAACGCCACATCAAACGACACATGTCTCGAGTCTGTACAACGCAAGCTAATGAGTAGACATAAGGTTAGTTACCTACGCAGTTTAGGTTAGGTATTGGCTGACGCTGAGTAGATTCAATTCAATGCAAAGGGACGTCGTATACGCTGTATCGCGCATATCATTAATCTCTCCTGTCACAGCACCATCACGACTTGTCTAAGACACTCACATGAGCACAGACCATTAGCGCACCATAAAGCTGTAGTCTAGATAGCTTCCTCTTCCCTCCTCCTTAAGGCACAACTACGTTACTACTAGCACCTTAGATTCGCCCCGTGATATCTCCCTTCAAGCCTCCCTGCTCGCGTCTTCTAAAGAGGCTCTAGTGGCAGCACTCGAGGCAGCATCTGGTGTCACTGGAGAGGAGCTTCTCGCCCAGTTTTCCGAGGTCCTGGCCTCTCATCGAAAGAGGGCTGCCGCAGAACGAAATGCAACAAAGAGACACACCGGAGAGCCGTCCAGAAAGCATAAGCGCAAAGGCAGCTCGGGTGGTAATAGGTCCGCAATATCGACCGACGACTTTAGCGGCGTTGAGAATTTCCCCGCATTGCGCAAGCTTCATGGGTTAGCCGTGTGGCTAAGGTCGTCAAGCCTCCACCAGAATGCGTGGGATAAGGCAGTGGGACTGCGTTTAGGGATAGATAATCGTACCCGCTGGTCGTCCTGGTATCAGGTCATTGATCGCGCAATTAGAAAAAAGGACAAAATCCAGTCCTTCTTGTCTGATCACGAAGAGGCCATCGGTGACAATCGGCTACTAGCTGGAGATTGGGAGTTACTAGGCAAAGCACATACATTTCTTCAGCCATTTGCTTCAGCAACATTGTACGCGGAGGGAGATGACTCGTCTATCTCACAATCGTTGACGCTGATGGATATGTTATTACTTCATTACGAAGAACAACAGGTATCCTCCCCAACCCATCTACCCATATCGAGTCGATTACTAACATTGTTTCAGAAGAAATATCGATCGGGTGAGCACTACGACGAAAAGATGGTTCGAGCCATCGATATGCAGGGTGGCGATCAACTCA